AACTAGGTAACGTTAATAGTCCCTAGAAACCTATATTCGGTTGAGCCATCTCGCTACCGAAGTATTCAGATATAAATAGAGTTGTAAAGTAAATATAGTTCTATTAGTAGAACTAGACCAATTCTTATGATTCGTATTTTACTGAGGCCGTTTAATGGCCTCGTCCAAATATCTGATATGTAAAATGGAAAAGGTATTAATTAATAAAACCATTAAAAACCATTTAGGAAACTTAAGTTCCTCGTACTATTAAGAGTACGTTTGTAATTTACGTACTTCTTAAGAGTACGTTTATAACATAGAGTCTAATGTGGAGGCCCGGCTATTACATGTATATGGCACGTGATGTAGGAACAGAGAAACCCACCACTACACATAGGTGCAACTATGTGTATGGCAGTACACATACATACACATACATACCCATACACATACACACACACATACACATACGTGCATCTATGTGTATGGCAGTACACATAGACGTATGTATGTCTACATATACACGCATATATGTGTCTGTGCCGGTCGCAGTGCTTGCAATTAATAACACACACATACATACACTTAGTAAATGTATATGACACGTGGTGCAGGAACAAAGAACCCCTACGCTACATATACGTGCATCTATGTGTATGGCAGTACACATACATACTCATACTCATACTCATGCTCTCACACATACATACACATACATACACATACATATACATATACATAAACATAAACACATACCTTGCATGCACAAGAAAATGTGCATGCACTTACGAGAAAATCTTCAGCGACCTGCAATCTCGATTGCTGGTCTACCAAGAGCCCAAGAGCCTAGCGTACATGCATGCATTATGCATATGATGACATGATGCATGTCTGGCAACATGCATCACAGCCTGAAGCATGGACACCTACTATACTGCATGCACGTATCCTGGGCTGATAGTAGATCAGCAATCGAGTATGACCCGCCGCTGAGCATTTGTTTTTGAAAGTGCATGCACAAGAACATGTGCATGCACTTACGACAAAATATTTAGCAACCTGAAATCTCGATTGCTGGTCTACTAGCAGCCCAGCATACGTGCATGCATGGGCTGCTGGTAGACCAGCACCCGAGTATTTCAGGTCGCTGAGTATTTGCGATACACCTACACATCTCTGTGTCCACATATTCGTATCTACATAGACACATCTATATCTTATTATTACAATTTGTACTCAATATCAGAAACGGCTCTTAGCTTCTTTCAATAAGGTTACTAAGAACTATGCAACAGGTGCGGCTACTTCACGGTCGCGAGAAACTTTCGTGCAAGTCTGGGTTGTATTTAAGAAAGCAGAAGGACGTGAGGCAATACGTGGCAATACAAGACAACACGGTGGAATATCGCAACGACATAATACGCAGCTACGGGTAAAGGAGGGTATGGGGCCAGACCGCAAGATGGAACGCGTACTATGGCTCTTCAATACAGTCGCTAGAAACGAATTAAGATAAGCCATGCTAACTCAGCAAGGGGTCTGATTGATCTGGGTGATGCGCCAGTCTCTGAGGCAATCAACCAAAGCAAGGCACTAGGCGCCATGAACAAGTGGGTTAGAGAGGGAAAGCGGCAGCGTGATGATTGCGTCACACGGGAAACTACTTTTCGCGAGCATTGTTACCCGTTGACACTGCTACGAAAGGTAAAGCTTGCAGATGGCACCGACGGGGAAGAGATCATTGAAGCTCTCGCAATGCCGATGCAGATATTTGCTGCCGTCGGCATGCCTTACAGGATGTATCGTGGCTTTGTCCCATGCAGGCCTAACTTTGTTAAGGAAGTGGAGGGCACTGGTGGTGTTGCCTCGATGGGCACAACAGTGAATGACCCCGAAAATGTGTTGCATCTGGAGAAGGATTTTTCCTTACCCACAGTTGATGTCTGCTTATGTGGGTATTCTAAGGGGGCAGCGGGTTTCCCCCCAAGATTTAGATGAGACCGAGCCCATGGTGTGTTCGCTGCAAGAACAGCGTGGGCTAACCCACCTTGTCAACTTATCGCACAGTTGTTAAATTATGTTAATATTACTAAATCTACCATTACGCTGTGTTGTCCCTTACGTAACTCCGACCCATGGAAA